ATGCGCGCGCTACCACACCCAGCTAATTTTTTTATTTATTGTAGAGATGAGGTCTCACCAAGTTGCCCAGGTGGCTCTCGAACCTGAGGGCTCAGGCAATCCACTCACCTCAGCCTCTCAAGGTGTGGGATTACAGGCTGAGCCACCAAGCCCGGCTGTCAGTGGCAGTCTTAAAGTCCAGTTCCATGGAAACATTGCTGTGTCTCCTGGTAGAATCATTCCTCTCTCTTGAATCAAGACCTCTAGGCCAGTAGAACATAAAGTTGTGAGGAGAAAAAAGGACAATTTGGCTAGTGGGTCACTTCACAGTTGCGGTGATTGATGCCACAACCACTTACATCCTCTTATTCCTGAATTCATTAATCCTGGCTGTAAGATAAACCATACCATGTACTGGCTGCTGATTCAGATCATATGCAGCCATGTGGAGAATGCTGCTCCAGTCCTGCAGTTATTGCCATCTACCTAACTCTGTAATTAGACTTCAAGAGACCACTCCACCTTTGTATCAAGTCACTGCTTCATGATGGTGGAAAACATGGTAAAATTATAAACTCCATGAGCATGGGATATTGTTAGACTTCCTTGGCTCCAAAGTCAGTTTTATTTTATTTTATTTTGTTTTACCAAAAATCACACAATTGTTTGGCATAACATAAGTGAATAAGACATGCAATCAGTTCACAGAGGGAAGTTTTGGCAGAGGCATTGCATGCAGGAAAGGGCAGTGCATATCCAGAGTAAATGACCGTTTCTGTACAAACAATACACTGCCCCTTCCAGGAAGGAAGAAATGCCATGGACTCAATGTGTTGACTGATCACCCTGGGGGATGGTACCATATTGGAAACTCAGTGTTCATTTTTGCTTCTGGCAGATTGGGAGCTCAGCTGTGGCCATAGCCAGGCCAGTCTTGGTGAGTGAAAATCCACCTGCTAAGTCCATGCCTAGCCCTATCCCTGTTACCATGAACTCAATAGGCAATGAAAGAGGGGGCTGGGAAATAAGTTGATTTATATCTTACTCACTTGATTTTTAAAATTTTCCTTTGATGAGACTATTGCATGGTGAGCAGTCACATGGGGCCAATGTGCATATAATTGCACATTTGGCTATTTTTCTTACCATGCAAAGTGGACAATCAGGTACACTTTTGAAAGCTCTGCTCATGGAGAGGATTGGACTTTATCACTGTCCTTTATGGGGATTTAGTGCTGAGCTGTCCACTTTTGGGTGGTCTGTGTATTATGTAGAATCATATGTAAACAGGCCCACGTGTTCTCTTTGTCAGCTAATTTTTTTTTTATTCTAAAAATGTAGGGTATGCTGGGCTCGGTGGCTCAGCCTGTAATCCCATGCTTTGGGAGGCCGAGGTGAGTGGATTGCCTGAGCCCGCGGGTTCAAGACCCGCCTGGGCAACTTGGCGAGACCTCATCTCTACAATAAATAAAAAAAAATTAGCCAGGCATGGTAGCGTGCACCTGTAATTCTAGCTACTTGGAAGGCTGAGGCAGAAGGATCGCCGGAGCCCAGCAGGTCAAGGCTGGGAACAGCCACTGCACTCCAGTCTGGGAGACAGAGTGAGACTCCAACTCAAAAAAAAAAAAAAAAAATCTGGGGTACAATTCAGGGTCAGGCATACAAATGGTCATTATGCAGGTACCCTTTTGATGAGGTGTGCCCCCTTTGTCAGCTAATTATGAGAAGTTTATGAGCTCATAGGTGCATGCTGAATGAGAGAAGAGACTATAGCAGGAGGGCAAACCATGGGCATTTGGACCACTTCTTTATGTAACTTACCCATGTCCTCAGGAAATGTTTAGGCCCAGTCAAGTATACATAACTTTATTTTAATGATGAGGTGCTAGTGTGCATGCCTCACTTAATGGCTTTTTGGGTTATATAAAAACTAGTTCATAATGGACAGTGCAGATCACTGTGGTAACTTGGTGAGACATAGTTAAGAATTCAGTCCTTACTAAGACTCAAGAGTAGGCTAAGGTCTGTTTCTCCAAAGGGGAAACGTTCTTCACAGAGGATGGAAGAAGTTTGCAACAAAAATCTGAAAACTGCACTGTGATTTGCCTATAAAGGACTTCCAAAATTTCAAATGGCATCTTTGTCTGCCACTGGTACTTCAAGCACCATTGGATCTACTGGATCATATGGCCCCTGAAGCAGAGCAGCTTGCATTAAGCCATGGGCTCATTAAAGAGCCTTCTCTTGTTCTGAACCCCACTCAGAACAAGCAGCCTTTGGGGACACTTGGGAAATGGGCAGAGTAACTCATCCAAATGAGAAGTTTGTTGATTTCCAAATCTCAAGAATTCTACTAGGCATTGTACCGCTTTTCTAGTTGCAAAAGAAGACAGATGTGGTGTATTTTTCACCTTAGAAGTAATATCTTAGCACACTCCACACCCTAGACCTCTAGAAATCACTGAAGTGCGCATCCATGCATTTTTAAGGGATATCTTTCTCATTCTGACATGTACATTTTTTTTTCTTTTCTTTTTCTGGTATGTTTGAGTTCCTTGTAGATCCTAGATGTTAGTAAATGTTTTACTAATAAGTCTAGAGTAGATAACTGTTGCTCACTAGGTGCAATCAGCATAATACTATCAATGTAATAATAGACAACTATGGTATCTTTTGGAAGAAAATACCATCAAGGTCCTTGTGCACTACATTACGACATAGGCAAGATGATGTGTGTAGATGGCTTTGCAAGCTGAATGCAAGCTGCCTTTGGTGGATCTTGTGGACAGGTGTAGAGCAAAAAGCATTTGTTGGATCAATAGCTGAATGCCGGGTATCATGGGGATATGCTAATCTACTCAAGCAAAGAAACTATATCTGATTAAGAAGCTGCAATTGGAGTCATTGCCTTAAGCTTATTGTAATCCATGATCATTTTCTAAGTTTTGTCCATCATCTGCATTGTCCAGATAGGCAAGTTGAATGTAGATGTGGTGTGAATTATAACCTCTATCTTTCAAGTCACCGATGGTAGTACTAATCTTTTAAATCCCTCCAAGAATGTGGTATTTCTTTTGCTTTATTATGTCCCTGTGTAGGGGAAATTCTAGTGACTTCCACTTGGGCTTTCTGATGTTAATACCCCTCAATCTATAGGTTAGAAAATATGAAATGAAAAAAAGAAGAAAAAAAGGGAGGGGAGAAAGGAAGGAAGGGATGGAAAATATAAAGAAGGGTGAAAAAAATGAAGGAAGAAAGGAAGGGGAAAAAATGAAGGAAGGGACAAAGCTTCTTTATAAAATAATGTCAAATAATAAATGTAGATAAATAATACCAAATAGAAAACTAACACTAGAAAAATCACAGTAATAATTACTTTTGGCAAGACTCACTGATGGATAAAAAAATTCTGGTTATAAATTAATGTTGAAGCATTATATTTGCATATTCTCAACATATCTAATTTCAAATATTTATAACACTTTTTGTCTTTACTTTTTTACAAGATCTGCAACTCTACTGCGTTTTATTTACAATATGCAAATATGAAATTTATAGCCAAAGCATAAAGGATAGAAAGAGGTAAACTGAACTATTTAATAGTAAAGATGTATTTTAAATGTATTAAAAATAAAGCATTTATACTATGTTAAAGACGCATATTATAATTCTTGGCACAAACACAAAAAATTGCAGAGATGATATTTCAATCATAATGAAAATTAAATTTAATGCAAAATGTATTTTTTCAAGAATGTTCACATAACCTTTAGTTATAATTGCCAAAACCAGGAATTACCCAAATGTCTATCAATAGGAAAACAAACGAACAAATTGTGGAGCATTCTTACAGCAGAACACTATTCAGCAATACAAAGGAACAAATTACTGAAGAACACACCCTAATGAAACTCATGAATAGCACTGTGTGGCACAGCTGCACATAAAATAATACTGTATAATTTCAGGCAAAATGAACCTATGATTTTAAAAAATTACAGTTAAGTTGCTTCTACAGAAAGAAAAAAAACTGCCCATGGCAGTTTTCTGGGAATTATGAAATTCTGTGAATTATGATACAATTTTCTGGGAATTATGAAAATATATTCTTAAGAGAGGTGAAGATTAATGGGTTCATTTATTTACCAAAACCATACAGTTACGAATTGTGCCTTTTAATGTCCTTTGCTCACTGTCTTATTTCTGGAAGCAGTAGAAAGGAGACAGTGGACCTCTCAGGGCATCTTTTTTTCCACCCTTGAGCCTGAGGAGAAATGATAGTAGGATGTTCCCTCAACCCCAACAGAAAAGAATGGTTTAGGCCCTTCACCTCCCTGAAGTCAGAGTTGCACTTCAATGTAGCAACCACTAGTCTTTTACACCTGCCAAGTACCTGGAGGTTTTAAAATACAGAGTAAGTTATGAAGATATTGTTTCAAAAAACCCCCTTCATTAATAATTTATAACATTTAAAAATCATATCTTGAATATATTAGTTAAGTAAAATGTTATAATCAATTTCACTTGTTTATCTTTTATATGGCTAATAGAAAATTTTAATGACACACGTGTGTCACATTTTTATTTATTGGACATTGCGGGCTTAGAGGATTGCCTCCCTTTTCAAAGTTCAGGCTGCCTCCTCAGAAGACAAAAGGCCAGAAAGGCTATAACGTCTTAAGCTTTAAAATAAATGTCATTTATATTGTTTTCATTTGTAAGTAACGTACATATGTACTGTATAGGTATTATTCATCAATGGACATAAAACTATATACGACAGCAAATGGAAACATCCGCAGGCAGGGTCGCGTCCCTATGCAGGGAAAAAAAACCTGCCGGAAACCTGCCGTTCTGACCTCATTTAGCCGGTGTCTGATCAAACCTCCTGTCACTCAGGGCCAGAGGGGCTGGAGCTTGAAGTCTTATCCAATCAGCGGTGCTGTAGAGAAAACTGTCCAATCGGGAGCGCAGCCAGAGAGGAGGGGTGGCTTCCGGTATCCAGAGGGGCCTTTGTCTCTTGCGGCTGTTCGCTGAGCTTGTCCTTCTTCACTGTTTCATTTCCTGCTCTCCAGAATATCCAGGTGGCTTTGCCACTGCATCTGTCTCTCTGTGACCTGCAGGTACTGGGAGATCCGTAGGGAGGACGCAGGAACACCTGGAAGCCGGGAAATGGTGAGTGTTCATGTCGGGTGTTCCGAGGAGGGGAGGGGCTGGTGGAAATCGCGGGAACCGCCTGTGGTGGAGCCCGGGTTTCCCTATATCTTCGGTGTTTGGGACCTGTATCCCTGGACGCAGTCCACAGTCACCTCTGGCCACCGGGTGGGGCTGGGCCGGCCCCCGGGACTCCGGGCCTCGGGTCTCATCCCTGCGGCAATTTGGCCCCGCCCAGAGCTCTTGATGGGCAGCTCAACGCCCGCAGCCTCGCGTCACCCCAGATAGTGCGGCGACAGCGTGGGGGCGAGGGCCATAGGGGAGGATCCGGACTCTGCGCAGGCCTTGTGCCTGGGAGGAGCTGTGGGTGGTTCGCCGCGTCCCTAGGCCCTCTTTACTCTGTTAAATATTAAACTGAGGCACCGTTAGAAAGTTAAAGAGTTTATTTGAGCAAACAGATTTATTAATTTTAAGGTCGCCAGCTAGGATTTGTCGTTTGGGTTGCACAAGAAGGGCATGAAGGAAAGACTTTTATAAGGTGCATGAGGAAGCAAACCAAATTTAATAACTGATTTGAGTACAGTCATATAGTCACCTTATTTAGGGTATTCAGGTGGGTGATGCCTGGTTATTTAAACAGAGATGAATTGCTGGTTTGTGGTTGGTTATGATTAATTTTTAAAAATATTATTAATTCACAAGAAAAACATGAGTTGCATTTGGGTTTTCTTAGGTAGGAACACAGAACATTCCAGTCACTTCAGTCTAATTGCCTCTTAAATTATTTCAGTACTCCAGAGGAAGACTGGTTTTTACTACATTTTCCAAATATACTGCAAGTAGGGTCTCAAATTCATGGCCCTGTTCCCCCAGTGTGTTTTAGGGCTTGCAGTAAAATCCTAAATTTCTAGTTTCTTCTCCACTTTCTCAAATGCTAGATCCCCTTCTCCAACTCACATTATCAACTATTTGTACTCTTTTGTATATTTCAAACAGATACAGTATTTTTTTTTTTTTTTTTTTTTTTTTTTTTAGTTGTAGTCTCACTCTGTCGCCCAGGCTGGAGTGCAGTGGCATGATCAAGGCCACCGCAGCTTCGACCTGCTGGGCTCAGGCCATCCTTCTGCCTCAGCCTTCCAAGTAGCTAGAACTACAGGTGCATATCACCACGCCTTTGATTTATTGTAGAGACAGGGTTTCCAAGTTACTCAGGCAGGCCTTGAACCCCCGAACTCAGGCAGTCCTCTTGCTTCTGCCTCCCAAAGTGCTGGGAGGTGTGAGCCACTGCGCCTGGCAGATACAGTATTTTAATTGTGTATTTTTTTCACAGACCAGTGAATGACTCAACATATTTGTTTTTTTTTTTATTCCTGAACATTTCACATGAGAGAAAAGCGAAGAATAAACCCATGACACTCTGCTGTAAAATTTAAAAAAACAACTCTATGCTTTTCCTTTTATCTTCCCTAGACAAAGGCATCTTACCAGAATGTCTTTGGACTGATGTTCCCCTTAGAAAATTTTACAGGGTGAAGTATCCTCTGACATATTTCTCTCTTTTCTGAATTCTGGATTTTAGAACTGTCTGGGAATAACGCATGGTCCTCACAGTGTCCCTGTCTCTTAAAATATTCAGGAAACATCAGTCCCTGGGTCATCTCTCAGAGAATAGCCTGAGTTTGGGGGTGAAGCCTTTCAGGGGAGCATTGGGGTGCCCCAGGGCTAAAAGAAGTCTTCTGGTATAGCATTCCTCTAAAAAACTGACCCTTTGGACTAGACTTTTTTGCTCCAACCCCAGCTTTCATTTCTTGGTATCACATTGCTGGTCAGCCAATGGGATGTCGGTATTGAGGGGAAGAGATGGAAATAATTCCTGCCCTTTTCATTTTCTCAGACTTGTGAAGGGAGAAAAATTATTCCACAGAGCAAAGAAACCCATCCCATTGAGGGAAGAGCATGGAAAGCAAAAATCACTTAAGGCAAAGCAGATATACAGTATAGTTTCTCTTGGGAGGTTGGGCATTGAGCACTTCAGTGAGCAGGATGAAAGTGGAAGCATCCACATGACAGAATGGCCTAACTTGACACTTGACTCAGACGTATCTGTGTTTCAGTCAGCACTGCCACATCTTGTTTTCATAGAAAAAATACATTCTGTTAGTACACATTGGAATGTAATAAAATATTTTCAAGGAGTCAAGAAAGAAGTTACTTCAGAAAAAAATAAATATCTACGTATATATTTCACTTGTTAAAAATTATTTTCCTTTTTTTGTTATCCAGAGTGAGTATAGTAAGTTTCTCAGGTTTGCTTTTTTGAGGTGTGGTTTCAAGCAGAATTCCAGGGCATAGCTCTGAGAATGATACCAGGGAAAAATAGGAAAACTCTCGATTTCATTATAACTGAAGAAAAATGAACACATTTTTTACAAGAAAGTGTGGTAGATGAATTGGTGAATAACAAAGATTCCCCCAAACATAAGTTTCTCTCATGCTCCGTGGAGATTTGTGATAGTAGATAACTCAGTTCTATGTCCTGTTATTTGGATATCTAACTTTAACCGTAAATTCTGAGTGGGAACTTAACAACTCTTAGACATGTTCACATAAGAGATATTTTTTTATACATGATTTATTTTTGTGGAAATATTAAGAGGTTTATTGTCTGAAAGGGATATTTTTGCTTTTTTGTTGAAATATGAAATATAAATGCCTTATAATTTCATTTTCTCCTATAAACATACATACCAATTTGCTGGATTTTTTTGCTGGATTTTTCTAACACTGAGTAGTTTCTCATTTAAAGCTAAGTGAATCTTAACTGAAAAGCAGAAACAGGAGCCAGTTACTCCAAGCTAAGGCCATTCTGATTCTGCAAAAGAAAGTCATCGAAGGCCCAGTTAATTCTCCCTGCAGAGCCTCCCTGCAGGTGTCCCAGCCTGCTCACACCAGCCATGGAAGAAGCCTTTATACTGAGAAAAACCACAGAACCCTGGAAAAATGTTGTTTTTCAGGGATGAATTGCGTGGAAAAACATGGAGCAATTTTAGAAGGATACAAACAAATTTGTCCCTTACGATTTCAGGGCAGAGAAGATTTTCATTTGTGTGCTCCTTCTTTGTTTTTACTAGTTAACTTATTTTCATCATATAATATACTATTTTTATTTTTAAAAAGCAAAGATGGCCCCTTTCTTTCTGGAGGTGGGGGTGGGGGAGCCCCCAACCATCCGTCATCTTCATACAAAAAACACTTTCACAGAGTTTCCAAGGGTTTTAGGGATTGTGTTCCAGGAAACTGAGGCAGAGACCAAATATAAGTTTCTTTCTGTAATCACATTCTGACACTGATATTAGCCTCCAGACCTAGCTCTGGTTTTCTCTGAGGAGGTTTGCCCCACCATTTCTTTTTCAATGAGAACCCATCTCTCACCCCAGCATAGCTCTCCTATCCCTATGCCTACACCATCATTATAGCAACAGCATGTCCTGGTACTCAGTATTCTCTCAAGTGATCTTGGTGTTTATTGTTTATTTGTTTTTTACTGTATTCGCTACTTTAAGCTGTGTCTTGTTCACCACTATATTCCCAGTCCTAAGCACAATGCCTTGTTTATGGCAGGTTCTCATTAACAGTTGTTGAATTAGTAAATAATGGCACTGTCTGTGGAAGGAAATCAGAGAGGAGTAGGTCAGAGAAAATTTTAGATACTTCCTAATCAGGTGACTTATGCAAGTCACTGCATTTTTCTCTCTTCGGTCACCTTCTCTGTGACATGGGAATAAATATACCTACCTGAGAGGATAAGGATCTAATGAGTGAAAATACTTGAAGCTTTAAAACTCAGGTTGGCACTGTGAAAGTGTTCCACATATGAGCTGTTTACAAGATCATTCCAGACAGAATTTTTTATTTTGTTTTATTCCATATTAAATACTGAAACTTTACTTACTTTATTGCATATAAACACATTTTAAAATTATGCTTAATATTTCATACTTTAAAATGTTAATATTAACATTTTAATATTTGATATTTACACACTATTATATGCTACATAATTTTTGTAATCTATGCTTGTTTTTGAGATTCTGCATTTTTTAAGCCTTTTTCAATGATACATTTAATAATTTGTATCTAGAGTAGAAAAGGCTTTCATTTTTTAGTCAAATAAACGTTGTCTTCCGTATTGTTGGATAATAATTCTAGCCACAGACTTTTTTTAATTTGCATATTCTCTTCATTCATCTGGAAGATTAGAGGCAATAATCTCATTTTACATTTTCTGAAAAGATAGATACTATGTAATGCATTTCAAATGTGTCTTTTATCAGATTCTTCCATTTATTTCAAGTGTACCCTTTTTTTATATATTATTTGGTTAGATAGATGACAGTTATGTTGATCATATATAGATATAGGCATAAGTATAAATTAAAAAATGGTTATCTGTTTAGACTGCTGTTTTCACAGTCATGGACAATGATCACTCTTACCTTTTAAGTTCAATATATCAACATCTTTTTTATGTTCAAGTATATTTGCATTTTAATAATAATATATACAATGTATTACTTTTAACAAAATTATGGACTTAATATGGTCTTATTAGGACTTCTGTACATATTTTGACACGAGATTAACTGAATTGTCTTCTGCTGATTTTATTCAGTTTTAATTTCAGGTAATACTATATTATAGGAACACATTGGAAATTATCTATATTTTTATGTTATTCTTGAGTTCTGAAACCTGAAAATTTCTCGGTGGGATCATGCTGCCAATATAATATATAGTTATCTTTATTTTAATTTGCTTGTAATTTTAGGACTTGCTTTTACATTTATTTTCAGATGCATAACATTTACTTGGATCAAAAATTTTCATCTTAAACACAGGCAGAATTCAGTATTTATTTCTCATCTTTTTTTACTTCACTATATGCCATGACCGTTGCTTCACTCAGGCACACAGAATTCTTTTTCCTCCATCTTCAAGACTGCTGATTGTTCTAATATGAG